AGAATATGCTCTTGATATTTCAAGTCAAGTCAGTCATAATAAACGTTATGTACCCAAACAGGTGCAGTCGTAGCATTTTATATTATCAATATTAAATACCTTAGGTTCTCAAAAAATCTTGTTTTAAAAATTAGTAGGAAAATGAGGGGAGTGCACTCTCATAACGTTAAGATAGATGGATCAAATAAAGGCCTCCATACTACCGTACTAAACCTTCGGCGTTTGCATCCAATCTAAAGCGTACTAGGTTTCGTTGAAATCTTTCTTCACAATTCATTGTATATGATGTATGATTTGGTGTCCAAAGACAGTAGATCGGGGATCATGCTCGGTATCTCGGCGTTCATATACAAAATATGGATGAACAATGAACAAGGAACAATGATTTATAATGGGTAAAAAGGCAAGTGCTCTACATGTCCCGTAGGGTATTTAGCGTGACAAAAAAGATAGAGCAAGGCATAATGCAGTCGTCATTTCCGGAGATTACAGATGTAACCGCACTGTCCAATAAAGAGAGTTTGAAATGAAAATGTACGCACACAAAGCAATAAGGGGAGTGGTTATTGATCACATAATAGGCGAGAAAAATAAAAAAGATAGCAAAGACAACGCTTACTCGTGTGTAACTATCTTGGGTCGACAGCATACAGAAAGCCAGTTTCTATGGTAGTAGCGTTTATCAAATTTCGTGCAAGCCGTTTGGAGTGACTCATTCTCGAGTAGGGTTACGGCACTATCCACTGTCTGTTGTGCATTAGTGCCAGCATCCGGTGGCCATGGGCTATAGCACGTAGTGTAAATGTGACAGAGTATCGTCAAGGCGTTTTTTGAAAAGGGAGAGGGTGGATGCATTAATTACATGTTCCGGGATGGCGTTCTAAGGCTTTGCCATCCGAAGGGAGAAATAGTTTCGCCGACATTCCAGATGGATGTACCGCGTGACTAACTTAAACTGGTGACCACTTAGCGTGGTGTTTTGTCTGAGAATTAGAAGGGAATGGCATGGTTGGTTGGGGTTTCTCAGGATCTGGTACTCCATTATAGAATCTCCCCTTAGACGGCGATAACGTCCACTGTATATTTTGAGGATCTTCAACCTAAGTGGGTAGGGGATGCTGGTCAAACCTCTGACGCTCTTCGTTGCCCTACGTTATGCAGTATCGAGTGCGGTGAGATGGTGCTTGAGCCAGGGTTGCCACGCTTGAATAGCTTATTCCGCGTGCGACCTCACGTACGCACTAAGCATTGTTGGAAAGACTGAAGGGCCAAACTTCCCAAAAGCTCTGCGAAGAAGGTCGAGGTACTGGTTTGGTTGCTTAGCTACCTTTCCAGTCTGCCTCAAACAACCGAGGTCGTATTGAACTATCACGCCGAGATCGCACTCGTGAGAAGCCCGCTGTAGAAATTTTTTCCTAGGCGGTACTTGTGCATACTCTTGTGTCACATGCTGAGAACTTTGCACTTGATGACTTTGAAATGCAGCATGTTCTCGATTGGCCATGTATACGCTTGGTCCAGGTCCTCCTGTAAGACTGTGTTATCCTCCACTGCAGCTATAGTGCGCCATACCTTTGGGTCATCGGCAAATAGCAAACATTTAGAAGATAGCACACTCGCGAGATCATTTATGAAAACTAGAAACAGCCGGGTTCCAAGTACCGAGCCTTGAGGTACGCCGCACTGAACTTCAATGGATTCCGACAGGTTGATTCGAACCCTCACATTCAAGTGACGTTGAACGAGAAAACATCCTATTTAGCCCAGAACAGGATCGCCCATTCCATATTTCTGGAGTTTATGGAGGAGAATGCGATGGTCTCTATGGTCGAATGCCTTCGAGAAATCCAAGTAGGCCGCGTCGACTACTACACCAGCACCCACAAATTCCGTCCAGCTTGCTTGAGCAACCAAGAGATTATTGGTACAAGAGCAAGTTTGGCAAAATCCATGCTTCTCCGGAACGAGAATTTTGTTGTTCTCTAGGTACCTTATCAAAGTCTCAGCTACAATGGACTCTATAACCTTGGAGATCACAGGAAGTAGTGTTATTGGAGGCTAATTTGCCTGTTCAGCACGACTGCCACTTTTGTAGATAGGTGTGATTATTCCGTGCTTCCACATCAGTGGGTCGTGTATCTCGTTCAAACACCGTTTAAAGAAAATTGCTAGTGTGTCTGACAAACGCATGGCAGCAACTTTCAATGCCTTCGGGCGAATGCTGTCCGAACCCAGGGAGCAGAACTCGCACAGAGACATTAACGTATTCAGTACAGCTGCGGAGGTGAACGACATGTGATTAAGCTCTGACAGAGGCGTTATCTGCTTAGGCATGATATATAATATTTGCGCGCTATGGAAGGTACGGCCAAACTGTTGTCCAAGGACGTTGACCGCCTCTTATGCCGTTTGGGCCAACCCGCATGCTGTGTGCAGAGCAGGAATGTGGCGTTTAACACGGCACAAATTGTTTACGTTTCTGTATAGCGGTTTGGGGTTGGAGCGAAACTTTTCCACCAGATTTTGTTGTATCTCCAGTTTAACCTCCCGGACGAGTTTGACACAGTGGTTTCTTTATATTGTGTAGACATCCCAGGTATGGCCCTTCCGGGGGGCTATGTAGTTGTGCCATGCCAAGTCCCTTAATGGTATGCATTTAAGTGTCCTGCTACTTACGAAAGACTTCATCCTTTTAGGCCACCAGAGTTTGGTTTCAGATGTCCTTGCCACGAGCTTGGTAAATATGTTAAGGAATTCTCCGCAGGCCACCTCAGGGTTAATTCAGCTAGGACCGATCAGCTGGTTGCATCATTGAGGGCGGACAGGTCGTCATAGTTGGTTACGACATGATATTCCTCGGCATGCTCTTTAGGATAATCCGCGTAACACATGTAATGAAACACTAGTGTCGCATGATCACTGCGGCACAAATGAGTATCGGTTATCACTATCTCGACTATCAGTTCTTCATTGGTGAATATTCGGTCCAACATAGATGGTCTGTCAGTTTCCCTGAACCTGGTAGGCGTAGTGACGTGACCATAAAGCAAGAAGTCTGAAACCAGATCTTGCAAATCTGCTTTGAATTGCTCTCCTGGTGTGGCCCTGGATTCGAGAGCATGTAAGTTAAAGTCACCGGTGACTAGAATGTGACTGTACTTCCTGTTTAGCACTTGCTTAAACGCAACCCTCAAATTGCAGCCCATCTCAGGGGTAAACGATGGTGGGCGGTAAACAACAACCAATAGGCCAAGATCGTTCCCTCTCAGCCGGAAATTACAACAAATGGCGTCAGGTACGTCCATTTCCGAATCGTTTATGCGTTCGCATTGCATGTAGTTACGGAAGTAAAGGGCTACCGCACCTCCTTTGCTGGTTTGATTCTTCCGGACAATGGATATGTCCGTTAGCTTAATTTCAGCATCCGTTATCTCACAGCGCAACCACGTTTCGGTGACAGCGATGAGGTCCCAAGCTGCAGACGCGTGTTAAAGTCTTAATTCAGCTTATTTGCTGGGTAGACCTGGGGCATTTGTGCACATGCATGAGAGCTTCTCGGAGACTAAATGTTAGGTTGGATGGATAAAGCAAATGAGTTTACACCGACCAATAAAGGGTCGGTGACTACTAGTTTTTTAGACGGGTTGCATACTCTTGAGAAGTATTTGATATATAAGCAGGTATCAGATGCTCCGGATCCCGGTGTTTGCTCGCGCTCTGCTGTGTCCCTCCGAATATTATGGCTACTCTTGAAACCGTCCTCGAGTCGGGTCCTGCAGTTGGCGTTTTTATTAAGAGTTGTGCCTCTACTGATTTAGCTTTAGAAGATGCCGGTGTTCCCGCTGCTTTCAGATGAATTTCTTTTGGCACTCTGCAACGGAATTTAGTCCAGCTCTTTAGTAGGGTTTGTGCCGTTAGTTCTGACTGTAACGCAAGTTTTAACAGCCTGGGACCGCAACCCTTATAGTTTGGAGATATGAGGATCCTTGTCAACGAGGTGACCACGACATTTTCGAGAGAAAGAGCCTCCCGGATGTAATGCCATTGCTCGCGTTCGTGCATCTGAGCATTGTCGGAAGAGGACTCAGTAAACTCGGGAACACCGTGAACAATCACTGTTTTTTATCTTGACTTTTTCTGTACCTCTCTTTGTTAGCGGGATCAACTGAACGTTCTTTCCACGGGATTTCGGGTAGTATGCTCACTCCACTTGAGTCGTTGCGGAGACGATTCGCAGACAGCAGAACGGTCTCAGCCTACTCCGCCGATTTTAGTATTACCCGAAGTAACCTTAGAGCAACGCGTATGGGTGACGCGAGATTCTTTTTAGTGTCGTGAGATTAGCATGGACACCCATCGACGTACAAATGGAGTAGATGGATGCAGTAGATTAGTCGCAGTAATCCTGGAGGTCGATTTAACAAAAGACCAGTCTGCTTATTTATGCAAAACTGATAGATATATGGTGGATAATGTAAACTACGGTTTTTGACGCAAAAGTTAACGGCTGATTTAAAGCCTTGCCATTAATATTCAAGCTTGAGTATGAACCTAGTAAACCTTGCGCTACCTCTAACAGTTTGACTTTAATATCACTTTGCACAAGACGAGTATATTGATTGTTTGACATGCTTTGCGATGATAAGTGGGTATTGAAAATTATGTAATCAATACACACTGCATGCAAACGCAGTCTTCGATAGCTACTATTATTTGATGTAATACCTGAATATGCGACAGATTTTCTAGTATGAGTAAAGCGTTAAAGCAAGGGAAATATAACACTCATATGTATACTTTTAATATAGCTTACGACCCATGTTAACTTGAGACACAAGTTAACTGGTTCAACCCGAAATGGAATACTTTACTTCAATAACCAATTTATACGGCAGCTCCAGATATCGCAAATTAAGGCCACATTAGCCTTTACTACTCTGTATCCAGGCTCTTTTTATCGTCATAATTGATCTGTATAAATATCCCGATTACTTTTTCAGGATTGCTTATAAGCTGCATTAGAATATTTCCGCAAGCCAACATGATCAGAAATTCTTTCTCAGTGATGCTTGAAAACTATGTGATAATCCCAAACATCTACTGTTTTCTGACAAGATCCACAGTTTCCACCAGGGATCAAAGTTGGCGAACGAGTCAGTTCGTTACTGCATTCATTTTGGATCAGCACACACTAGTTGGCAAAAATCGAACCTTGCGATTCGCTGGTAGACACCTGCCGAGAAATTACGACGCCAATATCCACGTTCCCTCTCAACATGATTGCCTATTTCTATTAGCAGCAAATATGCAGCATGGGACGCAGCCTACAACTGGATTATTCAACCGGAAAAATCAACCAAATCATTCTGGTAGTCAGCCATCTATTTTTAGCCCATTGTCTCTCGTCGGTCATTTGGAAGGTTCACCAATAAAGACGACTGAAGTCTCTGTCTCAAATCATCGGAATGAACCTTGTTTCGACCCGCGTGATCCAGTACGCATCGTAGCACAAGCGCACACCAATGCGAGTATTCGGTGCACGGTACATAACAGCAATTTTACTTCCATCGTGGTGAGTTTTACTGTGACTTCTTTTTCTGCATTCCTTAATTTGCAAAGATGTAAACTCAATCAACATAAACAGCACATATGGCTGCACCTTAAAGGCGCGGTTTAGTAAAATAAACGAGGTGTTAACACTAAAGCCAAGTGAATATGTTGAGGGTAACAAATAACCACACACTGCGCAAAAAGTACACCCTAGTCAGGCGTTTACTTTTTATAAGCAACGTAGTAGCCTTGTTTCATATTAATTCGTTTCTGAAACATATATTTTCTCTGATTTTCACTGTATATGAATACTGCGTGCACATGCAAGTAACTTTATACGAGGAACGTCAAATGAATTAAAACCTATGGTTAGGCTTTTTCAAAACGTTATGACTACTTAGATGCAATAATTTAGATATCTTAAAAGTATTGAAGTTTTGCCAATAGATGCAATTGTTAACACCCGCGCTGAAAGGTTATTGTGTGTGTTAATGTTCCGAAAATTTTGTAGAAGGCTCCAGCATTCCCCGTAATGTTTAATCTAAAAACATTTTAATAGAACAAATTGAGAATGACAACATATATTGGAACTGCATACATCGGACCACGTAGTTAGACTGAACCTTGAATCGCCGAAGAATATACCACTTATATATTTATTTATTTAAGGGCTTGCAGTCGATACAATCTGCTCGGCGAAGTTAAAATATAGGCACAACACAACGAAAACTGCTGGGAATTTGTAAGCATTGTAACCTCATTGGTGAGGCAAGCAACTGCTATCGGAACCTTTCGATAATACAAATTCTTAATCGTCAAATGAAATATAGATTTAACCTTTAAGTATAATAAAGTGTTTCTACCTAAGAATTTAACTCTTTTTCCATTACTGTTGTAGACATATTAATCCTCCAGTGACACTAAACGTAGACACAGTATTCAAGTACTGGAACAAATTATTAGTCGTATTCAATGTTGTCGTGATGTAAAGCTAGCAAAGCGCTATACTAGTTTAGTGCCAAAGAAACCATATTCGAACGTACTCAAGTTATCTATAGGATATAAAACCATACTTCACATGATGAACTTGCCGCTTATCAAAAATACTTCCATATGATGTCTTGCAAATCTTCTTTTAATTTGCTCAATATCAAACCGGAAATCCAGGTTCAAGCAACTTGTAATTATGGTTAGCAAAGCTTATGCACATGAGCTATGTACAATTGCTAAAAGTATTTTCAACGAATTTTATAAGTAGACGACTTAAGTAATATTGTAAAGTCGGTGTACCCGGAAGTTTAAAGAATACAGCAGTATACTTCCCAATGCCAGTTATTAACAGTTTGGGGCCGTAGCATTTACTACAATTCCTAAAATGATCGCTTTTCTTGTTTACGCCGTCGGGGACAGTATGTTCATTTAAACATACCATTATTCTGGAATTACACTTTACTAACGTGGTTTTCTTAGTTTCCAACAAAGTTTGCATTAACAAACTGCTCTATATTAGCCACCACATTTACAGGGATTTAGTGCGAGTTTATTTTCTTTTATGCTGAAAATGCTACTTTCTAGTAGATTTCGGCTATTTAGTTGCAATGTTTCATAAATAAGTGGTGCATTTCTCGACAAAGAAATGCATAGTGTTCTTATAAAACAGATACAGTGAGATCGCTTGAAACTAATAGCCCGGAGATTTTAGCACGGTTTACTTACCAACTTAGGGTAAACTGAATTTGAATATATCTAAAGTATATATAAAGTTAGAACTAACAAATCGATTTAATAAAGGTCCTTGTGCAAGGAAAATTAACAGCGGTAGAAATGGAAAACGCTCTTTTAAAGTAAGAAGCCCGTTTATGTTGCCGGGCATTACAATTCAAGGGCCGTTAATTCAATCGGTATGCTGAGAAGCGCAGCTTCCTAGTGTGTCGTATGGAATGTACGAATAATGTACCACTTAAAACGTATTAGCAAAACTGGGTAACTACATTGAGCACATGCTTGAAGTTCGCAACTAACAGCAAAGGACCGAGAAACGCACTTTGTATGACGTCACTTGTTGCTAGGCTAGACTGCACTTAGGCTTTGGAATGAGGACTGCTTGAATTCTGCAATTACATTATGACGAGAGCCAAAATTATTGGGACAGTTATACCAGCGGATTTAAGGTTACAAAAACATTGTCATACTCTATCTTATCAAGTATTTTTTGCATCGCAAGAAATATAATAGCATATTCTTTAATCTTATCGACAGACTGTATGATATGACTGGTAAAAGCTAACTTATTTAAACAATTCTGCACTGAGCAAATAAAACAATTAGAGTATACAAATACATTAGCCGTTATCTTTCACTTATTTTCTATAAGTATAAGCGAAATATGGGTATGATTAGATGGAGGATAGGATTCCATATTAATTATCCATCCTATTTGGTATCCTGGAACTAGTCCAGCAAGCCCGGTTAGCTGGAATAGAGCTAGCTCAGTAGGTGAACATGTTCTGCAACTGGATAGGAATATCAGGATAACACATATTCATGTAACTGATGAAATGCAATCTAGACCATTAAGAAAGGAGGTTTTAGAGAGCTGATGATCTTCCAGCTATATATATATAATGCTTTATTTGCTATCCTAAGTTTGCCTGTAAGGAAGGAAGTATCCTATCAATTCCTCCATAGCAGTGATAAAATGTTTCCCAGGTAATAAAGCGATGTAGCCAGCAAGTCGTTCTGCAACATTCAGCCTCACTAAATCTCGTGGTTAAACGGATGAGGAATGACACAAGCTTGTGACCATTACCTTGAAGGCTATTCAAGTCAGTGACCTTTCCATGTGGGTGGCCAATGGTCAAGAATAGATCAAGAATGCTTCCATTCCTTTTCGGAGAAAATAAATATGTTTTGTCTAACCTCATGAGCAGATACTTGATGTAAATTCAACTAATCTCTCTGTTTAAGTGATCGCGTCTATTAATTGCTGGCACGTTTTAATCATCAATTGTCATATTTGGTGTGTAGGCTCCGAAATGTAGTCGACGAATATTGATGCAGTTGCAGTGTTGCTGTTTGTAGACTCATCCGATTAGTAACTTGCAATGAATGTCACTGTGGTAATCCATATAGAATCAGCGAAGTTTATAAGCTTTGGGCTAGTCAAAGGCGATGAATAAATAGTTTCATCAATATGCATAATGCAACCTCCTTTGCAGTCACTGCGACGACCGCTTGACCAGCTGTTGTGTCCTTAATGAACTCACGTGACTGATCTCTGAGCCAACTTTGCGTGAACATAGAAATCTGGGGAATTAAAAAACCTGCAGTTTGGTGAAGAAATTGCCACTTATTGCCAGAAGAACGTGCGTTAATAAGAAACGTTGAGTTTTTGCTTATATATGAGGAGTAAAGCGATAGTAGAGATAGAAGAGGAAGCCACGTCGGTGTGGGTGATCACTGGCGATCCAACATTCTCTTGTTCTGCTGGACTAATTGGATACATTCGGAAAATGAAACACGGCGTGTTAAAGCAGTTGCGTCTTCCTTGTCGGCGAAAAATGTACCGACAAATGTGCATAAACTAGGTTACTGCCTTTAGAGTCATACGGTTGGAGCTTTCAGTGGGGCCGTAGACTCAAATAAATAGTCTAGTGGGTGGTCGTGATACAGCTGATAAACGTTGCTGAAGGAAAATATCTAGGATAGATAAAAACATCAGTGTTTCCGTTGCTTTTGTCATAGCTAAGAGAATTCCAGTTTTAGACATGATCTGACAAGCTCACAAACCATACTCTTTAGTTAGAGGTGGAACACTCCTCAGCTACTGTATCCTAATGCCTATACTAAAAATAGGAATAAAATACAACAGGTATAAGTCAGCTGAGCTATCGGTAACAGCTGGGCGTCGTTCCGGTGAGCTAAAAGCCGGATACTATGCAGCAGAAAAAGAATAATTTAATATGCAAAGTTATAAATTGTTAAATAATGAGATAGTGGTTGAAGGGGAGGCTAACATGGATGGGGTTGGACAAGGAATCTCACAGCATGAACGTCACTGAACTTGGCTCCTATCTATATCAACAAGTGTATCCAGACAAACATGATACGACAATAATGGTTGCTCATTCCATAAGTAATACCAATTCGCCCGTACGGATTCCACACAATGCTATGTCGATTCATAGCTGCCGTAACCGGGAAGTCCTGACGCCGGAAGGCCGACCGCTGTCATCTGCATGGCAGGTGCCTGCATGGCAGTGGTGGATGGGTCGGGCTATATGGCATTTAGCTAACAATTCATGATAGTCAGATACCGTCCTCCATGGCGCAGTTACATAAGCTGCGGGCTAGTTGGCAAGAGCCACTAGCAGTCATGGGTTCTGTCCTCCGCAGAGGCCCGAAGGATGCGCACTACTGATGAGCCCCAATAGGGCGAAACGGCCGTCTGGTGCTTTTCCGGTCAGCTGGTCAACATATCTGAATTGTCGGCTGATTGCGACGAACAAAAATACTGCTCATTCCTCATCTCTGTATGCGGAGGCCCATAGTTCACAGTCAGCAGTTCAGGCTCTTTGGACATATGTTAGTTTGTAGGATGTATAGAGGACGCTGGTGATAGTTTGGATGGGATATTTTTTTTAGTTCCATTTGGCTTACACGTATTTACATATGAATTGAGCTTGTTGCCAGTATGTGATAATCCAACAGAGGCGTAAACGCTTGAGTTGCATGAGGACCGCAGATATTTATTCTCAACTATTGCTTCTGCAAACTACTAACTTCTGATAGCCTTGTTTTGAAGTAGCTTGTAGGTCGTTTAAGATGAGTGGCACGTATGCATACTATCTTGTTTGTTTGGCTGGCTGTAAAAGAGGTCAATATCTGGATCAGCGGTTAAGGATCACGAAGCCACTGAAACGAAACCTGCTTCAGAAACTTCAGTAAATGACTCCACAACATTTGAAACAGTTAGTTCCCTGTAATAATTTCTGAATTTGCGTATTATGGGTATCCAACTTT